TCTGACCTTCCTCAGCTCAGGCTCTTCTGCAGGGCTGTCCTCAAGAGGAGTTTCCAAGCACACACAGCACCGTTCAAGCTCCAGAAACCAAGGCGATGAACACACTTCGAGGCTTGCAGGCAAAGCTGGCATCTGCAAAGCGGCTCGCCAGGTACTAATCAATCTTGAGCAGCAACAAACGGTACTGGGAGATGCACCACGCGCGCCGTTTCAGGAAAGACGCCAGCAAACCTCGACGGTCGGAGATCAGAGGCGAGCGGCGAGGCCCTACCCGCGCTGCTGCAGCGCCGCGGTGCAACGTCAGCGTTGGGTACGAGCCAACGGCCTTCAGGCTTGCTTGTTGCCTGGAGGATACAAATGAAAGTCAGCAGGTGCAAAGGTGCAAGAAGTGCAAAATCACATCATGTCTTTCCAAACTGTGTTTGTGCAGTAAATGAGACTCATTTCTTTCCACGCTAGATCGAGACCATTTTTATTTTCTTTGGCTTATGAATGTTCTTAGTTCAATTTTCGTGTGTGTTCTCTATGGTACCTTGGGATGCCGGAGGTGATTTATAAATACGTGTAGAGACCAGGTGTACTGCCAGATGTTTATGTCCCTTTACAACAAGGCTTCGCCATCCCTTCCCATGGAACGCCTGCCTTATATTATTTTTTCTAATAGAGGATCAACTGGACTACAGGGTATTTGTCAGTTTTCCCTATGTAGAATTTTTTCTTAATTCACTTTTCAGTCATCTTGTTTCTGTATTTAAAATAATACTAAGTCTTTAAACCTCTCTAAGTAGTCTTTAAAAGAATCAGAGTTCCTTTCACATGAAAAAAAAAAATCACAGGCACATGTCAGCGGTTCCAGGTTTACATCAATGAAGTTTGACTCACTGCCAAAAAGATTTTTAATCTTAAAGTGTTACCTACACATACCTTTTTTCTCTTTCACCCCATCCGCTATTTAGAAATGTTAAAAAATTGTTTTATTATAATAGCTGTATAAACGGTAATTGCAGATCATTCTTTTAAATATAAATGTAGTAAGAAATAACCCGTAGCCCCGAGGGCAAGCCGTTCTGAAGCGACAAAAAGGACAAAGTGATTTGCTCAGGGTCATATAGTCAAACGACAGAATGGAAAAGAAAATACAGCCTGATTTAATTGGGAATCAGCACTGTAAATACTAGGTGAGGGGCAGGAAGATTTTTCTCCGTACATCTTAAAACATAAGGTGGGAAGTTCACGTGTATGAGGAGGAGAGAGTAAGTGAACAGAATGTACAAACAGTAATGCCCCATGAAATTTTCTTTTAAGATTATTTTTAAATTCCAGGTCCTGTAAAAGTCTACAAGGACCCGAGAAAGTCCATTTGCCACTTGCCCTCTTTAGCAAGTAAATTCTTAGGGGTTTTTTTCACATTAAGCAGACCCACTTTTCCCAGTTTTGTATCATGAGAATGACTAAACTGCCTCCCTCAGTAAAACTGCACTTGTAAAAGTATTCATAAACTGACATCTTACTAACCGACCCCAAGCAGCTGGTGAGATGCTTTATACTGGGAAGCATGAGGCAGGAGGCAGTTTACAGATCTAGGACAACATAGTTAACGTGATTGTTTCAGGCACATTCGCTGATGGTTCAAATACATATAACTGCATAAGTTATTTGTATGTTTCAGATTTCTAAAAAAAACTTTAGAACTCTCTTCAACAGTATTTCCTATTAAAATACTTCCAACATTTATTTTTGCAATTGAAAGGAAAAGCAGCTTAGTAGTTATGGGAAAGATGTTCAAGAAATGACAGGCAGCAGGGCACAGAGAACTGATTTTTCTCAGGTGAAGTGATTATTAGCACTGAGGAGACAATCGGGAAACGTGAGGAGTCAGCATCTCAGCTGCTGTGTCTTAGAGACAAGGACAAAACCCTGTCAAGTTCCAGGCATAATGGAATATGGAACACTATGCCAATGGAAAAAAATTTTAAAAAATTAAATATGGAACTGTAACAGCATCTAAGATGGCCTGAGACACTACGAGGTTAACAATTAAAAAATCCCACAAGGTCTGCATGAGCAATCAGTTCACCAAAGGTCAGAGAGAAAAGTGTCTTCTTTTGCACACACATATATTTTTTCGTCTATACGTATGTAATGCTTGAAGCATATGGACACCTAGATGCTAGCTGCTGTGTGATATACATAGCAGAGCTGTCAAATAAATTAGGCACAGCTAGAATTCAGCATGTTTCTTTGTAACGGTTTCATATCACTGAAGGAGACTGAGTACGTGCCTTCAGCTTTTACATCTACTCAGTCAATTTTGGTTACTAACACACAACCGAGTTCTTTGTCCTTAAGCTCTGGATCTCTGTCGGTGAGGCTTTCTCTCTTCAAAATATTTCCCTGTGTTGACCGTTTACCTGAAACGAAGGGGAGATGGTGAAATACCCAACCCCTTGAATTAGTCTTTTCCTAAGGAAGACCTCAGCTCCTCAAATCCAGCCTCCACCACCCCAACTTAATCCACCATTAAGCTGTGGTGTTCTCCAAAGCCGCTGACCTCCCCCTGCCTGGAGGTCTGGCGAGCTCCGTTTCCCCTCAGGCACCGTCCTTCCCACCGCTGCCTGGGAGCGGGCACAGCGGGAAGCACAAGGATTACAAACCAAAACGTGACGCTAGAGGTGGAAACTCTTGCCCAGGGCAACCCATCAGCAGAAAGAGGAGCCAATGCACACCCCCATGGCACCCTTGTTACAAACTCGCAGCTGGCCCGCGCTGGCCGAGGAGAAAGGCTGGGATACAAACTACGGAATTACAAAGGTAAATATTTGTTTGTGCCCATGAGGTGCCCTAGGCAAACTGGGTGCACCCCAGGGATTTTTCTTTTGGGGTTTTGTACTAGGGTATGATACGAATCGCCTAATCACCTCCTAATGCATATTTCTAATTATGCAATTGTAAACGCGGCACAGCAAAGCAACGACGTTTTCGTAGGCCTTGCAGCGGCAGCAGCATCCACCAGCATCTTCGAGGCTCATCTGTTGATCCAGACGCGCTTCTGTCGTCAACTTCCGCAAAGTTCTCTGGCACCAGCAACCGGTGCTTCTCTCAGACAGGGATCCCTCAGTGAATTCTGAGGAGAGTTTCCTCATCTCGGCCAATCGCTTGTTCTTCTTCACGGGGGCAGGCGATGGGTCTGGAGATAACGACCACGCAGCAGTCAGGTGCCAACAACGCCCTCGGCTCCTAACAGCCGCCGGCCCCCAGCGAGCGGGTGTGCCCCG